TGAATATGCATTTTGACCAAATATCCAAGCAAGAAAATTGCATATGAATATATCAGTGTGTGTATGTGAATTTTTCTTCTTGCTTGAATAAACTTTTCTCGGCCGGATCTTTGGCCGAGGCTTGGGCATAAAAAGCACTTTAATAGCAATCAAATTTATTTTAGCAAACATCATAAGTGTGTGCTGTATGTGATTTATTTCTGGCTCAAGTGTTGGCTAGTCCTTAAGCTTTTGCGAGATTTGCATCAGACTCGTTTTGTCCTGTTTCTCGGAATGGCAAAAGGGATGAGCATGAGTGTTGTCGGAGAAGACGGCAAAAGTGGAAGTGGACGACGACACCACCACAAGAATGCCCCGTTTCTGGGGAGCGCAACAAGAGGGTGGCTGTTTGCCAACACCAACTTAAACATGATCTGCATCGTGTTGGGAGGCCGTTAGGTCTCGGATCACATGTCGCTGCCATGCTGCCTTCGCAGATGGCCCCTACCGGTCGAGGTGTTGAGATCAGGCCTTGGCCGGTCTGCTCCTCGGACGGCCTCGGACCTGCGAGCCGAGGACAAGCGCGCAATTGCCACGAAGCTGACCGACGCGATAACATGCCACCTTCCTCTCCTCCCAGTCGGCTCTTCTGCCACCAGACTCGGGCTTCTTCCGTGAGGGGACATGTGCCAGAATCGGACATTCTCGGCAGACCTTTCGTGTGCATGTGCATATGTGTGTGTGTGTGGGGGGGGGAGTAGGGAGGGAACTTTGTGGTGTCGGCAATGCCACATCCTACACAAGACGACAGTCGTATTTTGCGTACTTGGTCTGGTGAATCTGCTTTATCGTTAAGGCAGTCGACATTGTGTAGGGGTAGGCTTGGCCCAGGACATACCGATGACTTTCTTGGGCAGATTATCCCATCTCAGGGGTGTGAAGAGGATGAAAGTGGCCAGGGGCTTCACTCGGTCTCAAAGACCTCCTCTGCTCTGGTACATTTGACTTTGCGTGACTGTAGGAAGCAGGTGATGTGCCGGTTTGGCGACTGTTTTGTGTTTGGGATTTCGAGTCTGATTCTGCCACCAGAAACGTCGGTAGATTTCGGACAACAGGACACAAAGACTGGCTATTTTGTGGCATTTGTCGGTTCACGGAAATGGGCAAGTAAGGCAGCGGAGGGAGGCTTAAATGCGCGCCAGACGAAGCAGAATGCAATTCGGTGCAATGCCAGCAAAGGGATCTGAAAGAGTCGAAAGGGAGTAGGGAATGAGCAAATGGCGTCAAAGTCCACCAGCTATGAATGGTCTCTGTCTGGAAGGATAGCGAGGCTGAACAAAAGTTCGCAGCCAGTTTCACTCGTCTATGGAGACTTTCATTTCGCCTGAAAGTGAACGATGAGGAGACTCTTTGGGTGATCATAGACGATCTCCGTTTTGGTGCCCAATTTGGGATTTAATACGACTTTAAGGTTGACGCAATCCACCTTCTTCATCCTGCTGATTAACATACATCTACCACTAGACACAAGATTAAAAATTCTACTACTATTGGTGGAGTAGGAAATAAGTTGAATGTCAGGAATGACGGTAGGAGGTTGAATGACAACTGCTTATGCTCAATGAGAGGACTGAGAGAGAGTGCAGTTGACGCTGTGAAGGTTGTAATCAAATTCACATTCTTTCACAAAGACTTACAATTCCATCAACCTAAGCATAAGTACAACGTTGCCCAATCTATATGTGAATCATAGGTTCACTAAACTCTGATGGCCCTGGACTAACGACTGGAGGATTCGCAGTCTGCTTTACACACGTACACATGTTAAAATAGACACACACACACACACAAATAACACACTCAAGTACACTGAATAATATAAAGGCGAACTAAATAAATGATCCCATATTTTTGCGTTCCTGTACATTTTAGCTTTTAGTTGTCACTTTGTATTATATGTAAAGTAGAATTGGCTGGTCCTCTTGAATTGTCGGTAATTTGGCACTTTTGTAAGAATGAATCCCAGTTTTACCGACGTCTGTCAGCTGACAGGACAAACGTAAGCTCAGGCTCTTTCTATCCGAAACGAACGGAGGATATATCGTGGACTGCGTCAACCTGAACTTTGTAGCAGAGCCGAACGACAG